GTTGTGGCGATAGTCGATTAGCCGGTTTCGGATTCAGTTTCTGCTAAAAATTGACCTTCAATCTGATACTAGAAACAGGGCATTTTCTGTGACGTGTAAGTGTCACGGAACTAGAGACCCATTTTTTCTAGTAACGAGTCATTCCATTTTAGTCCTTTAGGGTGATATCCTATCTACATTTTTATTTTTATATGATAAATTTATATCTATGGACCGTAATGTTCACTTTCTATCAGGTGGACTGTGTGCTCATTTGTCACCTTTACTTAATTAAAAAAAATAGTATATAGCAAGTTGTAGCACTTACAAAATTCAATATATTATGAGCTAATATACTCGTATAGAGCTGGTATCTTCTGATAAACTCAGTCAGTAGTCAGATAGTAAACAGTACGTATAAACACATAACCACATATGAACAGTATATACGAGTACGTTCAATATTGTCTCGCTCTATTGCAAGGTGCAGTTATCTAAGGATCTCAAACCTTTCTTCTAATAAAAATGTTTACTAGCCACCGTTGAAAGATTGAAGCTTAAGATGGTGTTTAATGTTCCCTGTATTTTAAACAATACGACGTCCTGTGTGCTGGAATAACGCAACGAGAAAAAGTAGCAATTTTAAAAAACGAGCACCGGAAGTTTAGCTCCTGACCGTTCCTCTTCATTCAATTTAAGTAATGTCAACGGTGTTCGTAATGAATTACGTGGACTTTCTGAATAAATGTCAACTTTGCTTAAGTTACTGGATTCGGTAAAAAATATTCAAGCTGATTTGGCTGATCGTAAATCGACAAAATATAAGTTGTGAAGGATTCGTCAGATTAGAGCTGAGGTGGATCGAAATGGAGGAATTTCGAACCCTCCAGGAAACCAAAGAAGATAATATGAATCGTCTAGAATAGAATTTACAAAAACTGGAAACTTTCTTTATGAAGGACAGCAGCGATCACCGTTGAACAATATTGAAATCAAGGGAGTTCCTGTAACTAACACGGATTTTTTTTCCATTATACCTATCAAAAATAGCAACCTCAATAAATTTCAATATTAGCGATAAAAACATAAATTAAATTGTTGGGGCTCCTTCCCGCAAATATGAAAACAATAAAAGCATAATTCTCTAACATATCGGTTGTGCACAAACATGCCAGAGATAACTTCATTACAGCAGAAAGAAAGCGTGAATCCCTAACTTCGTTGGATAAAAGTTTTAACGTCATTAACAGAATCATTATTAACCACCATTTAACATTTCGAACAAATTTTTATTACACAAAACGAAACCTACAAAATCCTTGTACAAAAAAACATAAAATTGTTCTAATAAAGACGGATAGTAAAAATGGAGTCGGATTTAAGAAAAATTGTTTAGTTTCTCAAGTTACTGTTAGGTTTAATTTACCTTACCTTAAGTTTACCTTCTCTAAAAAAAGTTAGAGAAGCGTCGGTATCGTCTATTCATTAATCGTGGGTTGCACCTCGCTTTTGTTTGCTTAACGACAGGGCATGCTCTTGCTATCTGTGTTTGTTTTTCTTATATCTATTTTGTTCAATATGTTGTTAAGTTTAATGTAACGTCTTGTATATTGAATCTCAGGCGTGCTGTGTTACTTGTTTTAGAGATTACGAGTAATTATTTATGATTATTTGTAGGCATACAGGAATTATTTTATGTGCTTAGCGTGTTGTTCACTTTTATAATAGCACTTATATTCAGTGGCGTAGCGTGAGATTTTGCCATCCAGGGCCGCCCGAAAATTGCCCCCCCCCCATTTCGTTATTTTACTTTAAAGTTTAAATATTTAATTTAACGGAATTAATATACATCGTAAAACTGAGAGTCAATATAAACTACCACTGATTCGGAAGGAACATACATCTATGGAAAGAAATAGCGCAAGAAACCCCCAGGAAGTTTATCTTTTAAAATGTCAGTTTGTTTACAAGGCGTAACTGTACTAACTTAACACTAGGTACATACAACAATTAATAATAATATTACCACATAAAATGTTATAATGTGCAAAAATTTAAATCTATTTTAAGTAAATTTCTTATAGATGAATGTTATATAATGTCAATGAATTTCTATTTACTGATAATTTAAATATGTAATTTAATAATTTTATTTTGACTCTACTTAATTTTATTATTGTGATTTGTTTTTTATATACTATATTTAATTTTATGATGTATGGATATATAAATTCCTATGCTACTAAAGCATTTCACGGAGGTACTATAAATTATAATATTGTAAACCTTGTTACATGTGAAAAGGAATAAAATGATTGATTGATTGATTGATTGACATTGATATGGTATGGTGTGGTATAGGGGAACGAAAATGGCCTGAATTGCTCCGAGAAAGGTATGGTACGGCCGTGCCGCGTTTTTTGCTCGAATTGGCGGAAGTGCAATAGTTAATTAAAACTAAAATAAATATTAAAAAATTGTATAAATATATGTAAGGAAAGCAGGAAAATATGAAAAACTGTTATAAGACTGAAATAGAGTCTCTTAATTCAGAAGTTTTGAAAAGTTCTTTTATACTCAAACTTTTTAATGGATATAGTTTTATAAAGCTAGAGCCATGTTTTAATATACGGAATAGCTTATGTGTATTTTTAATCCTCTCGTGTTTTAATCTTACACTGAATTTATTAATTATATTGGTATATCTAGCTGCGCTGACCCAGCAGACGTTCACAGCTGGCCCGAAAAGTTCCAGGTCAAATTCAATCCGGGCTTTTTAAAGAATAAATAATTATTCTTAACTCAACCGAGATGTCCCCTTTTAGGTTTAGGTTTTGCGATTTTCTTCTTTGGCACTAAAAAGAGTAATTTTGATCCATAATTTGGAATTTGTTTGTCGCCCAAAACAAAATTTTTGAATTTAGTTCAAAATTATACACTTGCCACGACCATTATTGTAATATTAATGTGTAGTGTAGTTTAACCACTGTCAGGCTACTGTTTTCTCTACTAACAAAAGTAATATACCTCCTCATAGTTATCCTTATCAATGGCTATCAATTACGATGGTTCTAACCATGTGAGTTCTTTCTACGAGCTGATCATTGATGATCGATTATCTGGTGTTCTGTTTGTACCTATCTCTCGTGTAGCCCAACTGAGTAGACTGTAACTGCGGCTTCCACGTTTTACTAATCTTGATTTGACTTGTGCATCTTATTCTGCATCTGTTGCGCTGTGGCTTGATGACCTATTTTTCGGCCTGGTGACGAAAGGTGGAACATGGTCACCTATGACTTCGTTCAAAGGTGATAAATATTCCAAATCAGAATCAATTCGCAGTGTTTAAATTTTTCCACTTAACCATGTTAATAAATGACAAAAAAAACAGATAAGAAATAAATGTAAACAAAAATAATAGTACGTAGCTATTTTTGGTGTTTTATCTTTAAGACCCCGCGCACTAGCCCGCGTACTAAGCAGCCACGAACTCCCTGCTGCGGCAGCCAAAAAACGCGCCCGATTGCACGGCAGCCCGTTGACTGCGCGCAGCCAGAGCGAGTAGGGCGAATGTATGTGGCTGCCGTCAGTCACCGCGCACTTGTCGTAGCAGCCAGACGTATTTTGTTTTCTGAAATCACAAAATGACTTTCGATACGGAGAAATTTATTCGCGAAATTGGAAACCGTAAAGCAATATGGGATATATCTTCAGAAGAATACAGTGATCGTCACGATTACTGTATTCTTCTAAAAAATTCTTCTGTAAAGAAAAGAAAATGGGAAGAAATCACAAATATAAAAAATGTAAATGTGCGAGGACAATTTAACAGCAAATGAAAAAAGTGAATTTGGTACGTTATGTTTTTATTAGTTAGTATTTCATTATTCTATGGATATATTGTTAGTTTATTGTTTATACACTTAAAAGTATAGTAGTAGGTACCTACTATCCCAACGCATATTGGTTTTGCCATTCTAGCGGATTTTCATTGATAAAATAGTCCGCAAATAAATCTCTATAAGATACTGATGATCGGCTCCCTCTATTTAAGGGACCTGGGGTTATTTCGAGGTCTGGAGGAACGTACAGTGTGTCTTTAAATCTATAACCATCTCTTTCGCGCACGTAATTAAGTAAGACACAGCATGCTTGTACTATGGCAATTGCAAATTTTTGTCGGACATCCAGTGGACGGTGAAAAATTCTCCATTTGTTTGCCAGAATCCCAAACGTGCATTCTATGTGCCGCCTTGCCCGAGACAGTCTATAGTTAAAGATTCTTTTTTTTGGCTGTTAAACCCCTTCCTCCATAAGGTCGCATTAAATTTTCAGATAAACCAAATGTCTCATCTCCCGCAATGACGTATGGCATCGGTACACCATTATTTGATATGGGGCTCTTCTCCGGGATTCGTATATCGTTATTGACGACTTTTTGATACAAAATAGATTGTTTAAATATGGATGAGTCACTACATTTTCCATATGTCCCAATATCTATATATGTGAACTTATAATCCGCATCGCATATAGCAAGTAAAACGATTAAGAAATAATTCTTATAATTATAATAAAGTAATTCTGAGTTGCTGGGTTTAATTACTCTTATATGCTTGCCGTCGATGGCACCAATAAAATTGGGATAGTTTGCATTTTCATTGAAACCTTTTGCTATTTCAAGCCACCTTTCTTCATTTAATTCTGGAAACGTTGACTGTCTCATGTTCTCCCAAATCGCCATGCAAATTTCATATATGACATCTCGGACAGTGGTATGTCCAATCTGAAAATTATGGCTGATTTCCATCATAGAACAGCTTGTAGCAAGATATCTGTAATAAAGTACTTATATTAATTTTCAGGTAAATCTCTACAGCAAAAGTGGAAGAACATCAGGACTAGTTACAGCAGGGAAATAAAACGCAGAACCGGTGCTAAAAGTGGAGCAGCAGCTTCGCGTAAGAGTCCTTAAGTATATTTCGAACAACTACAGTTTCTGAAGGCCACTGTAATAAATAATGAAACTCAAAATAGAATGGGTGAAACACGGTCTGCGGAAACCAACGATGACAGCGATTGTATTCAAGGTAAACGACCCGTTTCCAAAAAGAAGAAAACATGTGACGACGAAAATTAATTTGGTTCAAGTATTAAAGGAAAGTATCGCAATAAGAGAAGAGCGTGAAAGAAAGCAAGAATCTGATTCAGATAGACTATTTATGCTTTCGCTTCTAGAAGATTTTAAAAACATTCCGAAACATCGTAAACTTTCTACGAGAATGGAGTTAATTGACGTAATAAAAAGAGCTCAAATGCCTTTTATGGAAACTTACAATTCCGAATTTGGTGTGTTTCGCCAAGGTCATGTTGATTATGAACCAGGGACATCAACCGCCAGATTATTTAGACCAGAAACATCGGTTAGTGGACAGTATCGCCATGGATACTCGACTGAATATGGACCGGGAAACTCGAGCAGTAGGCAATATCGCCATGAATACTCAACTGAATATAGGCCGGAAATCTCGAGCAGTGGGCAATATCGCCACGAATACTCGACGCAGTCAAATTATGGGCCAGAAGTCACGAGCAGTGAAAGCCGCCGTGCATATTCTACGTCTGTTCCAGACATGCAAGACAATACCGGATATACTGAGGTGTTATCTCCATCTGACACAAATATAACAGATACGTCTCAGAATTCTGAATTACTTGAACTATTTCAGAAAAATCCTTTACTATTAATGTAAGAAATAAAGAATAAATGTCATAAACAATTAACAGTATTTTTTATTTTAGCACTTACCTCAATGTAATCACCAATTTTTCTTCTGGAGTTATAAAAGCTCGCATAGGAGTATCAGTGCCCTTGATTGAATTTATTATATTTTCCAAAAGGTTATTAAATGATTGCACTGACATTCTCGTGTAGTTAAAAAACCGGTCTGGGTATTTACGAACATCTTTAAAATAGATATAAAATTAGCCTTTTGAGTGCCGTTCTAGAAAAAGAGAATGAATCCAATGTCTTTTAACTTTGCGTTTTTTACGAGATACGCACAAAATTACAAGTTCTTCCACGGCCATATCCCTCGAAAAAAGGATCGCATCTGGCTGTCCATTGGCTGTCAAACGGCCGCCGTAGCCTGGCTGCGCAGCCAGGTTGCCTAAAGTGGCTGCTCAAATATTTCGGCCAACGCAGCCTGGCTCAGTAGCCAGGCTGCCTAGTGCGCGGCATGCCTAACTTTTACATATTTTGAAACAAAGAAATCAAGCGATTATACAAATTTGTGTCACAATGTCAATTCTGGCCGAAACCAGTTCTTCGTATAGTCCTTGTATGGGAACATTTGGGCGCAGAAGTATATTTATAGACATGTATGTCTTATGTTGTAAATAAGTAAAAATGAAGCAAATACATACACAAGTAATTTAATACGTCCATCCACAAGAAACTGACCAAATCCACTCAGAACAGCGACTTCAAGAGGCCGAGTGACTACAAGACCATTTATTATAGTGATCAAATAAGGTTTGAATCAATACTTTTTATATACGGTCGCACATAATACTAGCGTGAAATAGCAGAATAATGCTTTTATGTTTCGTATGTTGAGTGACGAGAGCCGGAAAACCTTTTTATTGATATCAAGGTATAAAGCGTAGTCCACAAGAGTAACTACGCATCTATATTTTAATTTTTAATCGGGAATAGATGTGGGTATATTGGGTTGCAATATCCACTTACCAACAGGTGAGCTGATTGATACTTTATCATTATTACTTGTCATTTGTCATTATTACTTCTTAGAATATTAAAATGACTAAACTAGTCACGAATAAATTTTCGAGGTTGAATGATTTCCAGCCATATTACTCGTACTACCTAAAACGAAAAATAAAATAACAATGTCTTGATAATTTGCTCGCCATATGAAGTGGGTTTTATTTACAGTGCTTGCATAAGCAACGCTTCTTATTGACATTGGAATGCAATCAATCTTTTTGCAAAATAGATTGGTTTTTGTGCTTTCATTTCATTTTATCAATCGATAAAATTTTTCTGCCACAATAATGTAATGTGAATATAATAAAATACTTAAAGCGATTTACTTTGCATACTACCAATTTATATTTATAGCAATTTATGTATTTATGTTTATAGCAATTTATGTAGTATACACATAGATAATTTAAATTCAAAATGTTTATTCTGTAACAAAAAAATTAACAATCATAGCAGTATATTAGAGTTCTCCTTTTAAGTATTTTTAAATACTTGTGACAGGAAAAACTCGCTCTTCCTTAATTAACATACAATACTTTAGTTACAAGAATAGCATAATATTCCTTTCCTAAAATAATTTATTATGAAAAAAATATGAAGATGTGTGCGCGTGTGTGCGTGTGCATGTGTGCGTGTGCATGTGTGTGTGTGTGTGTGTGTGTGTGTGTGTGTGTGTGTGTGTGTGTGTGTGTGTGCGTGTATGTGTGTGTGTGCGTGCGTGCGTGCGCGCGCGCGCGTGTGTTTGTGTGCGCGCGCGCGCGTATGTGTGTGTGTGTGTGTGTGTGTATGTGTGTGTGTGTGTGTGTGTGTGTGTGTGTGTGTGTGTGTGTGTTTTTGTAAGTCGTGTTATTTTAACAAATTTTCTATTTCGTGATAGTCTTTCCGTTTGAGCCATTCAATGAGAATTACCTTACATTCTTTACTGGTTTTAGAATAAATATTCAATTCTTTATTTAAGTAGTTATATAAATACGAGGACTTTTTTGCCTGTTGCCGTCTAGCAAATGCTGTTTTAACCGGATCACTTGGAGCTACGTTAGTTTTCCTCCTTTTACTTTCAATTTCAGGGTTATATGCAAGGGACTTGTGTACCTTAAGAACTATATTTAGTATGTATAACTTACGAACTGTAAGAAGATCACATAGTGTGTATAAATCTTGTGTTGGGAATTTGTAAGGTTTAAAATTCATAACCTTCAGTAATGATCTCTGGGCTCTTTCTAAATCTAAAAACTTTGTTTTTGTAGCACCTCCCCATATACTAATACAATATACCAGAACTGATTGAACTAAAGAAATATATACTTGTTTTAATATAGGTGGTGTTGCGAGATGTCTCAAAATTTTGAAAAACCATATGAATTTTCTAATCCTAGTCATTAACAGTTCAATATGTAGATGCCAAGATAATCGCTGATCCAAAAGTATTCCAAGATATTTTGTACTTGATACTTTGTTTATGTGAGGGCATGGGCAGTTAGAGTTATTAAGGTCAACACAAGAATGAATTTTAATATTAAAATTAGGTTGAGTCCTATTGTAGTTAGTAAAACATATATAGTTAGTCTTAGATGTATTGATAGTCAATAAATGTAATCTCAACCATTCTGCAACCTTGGCTAACCCCACTTCAGCGCTATGCCGGACATCTTCCCAGCTTCGACCACAGAATGCCAGAGCAGTGTCATCTGCATACGAGAACACGTACCCATTTTGTAGCGATATATTACATAGGGAGTTTACGTAAACCAAAAATAGAGTCGCACTCAGTACACTCCCCTGTGGGACGCCGTAGGTAATGGTAGAATCATGACTACAATGCTCTCCTATTTTGACTCGTTGTCTACGGTTTGTTAAGTAATCTTTAAATAAATCTAGGGGTTTACCTCTAATACCTATTTGTTCAAGTTTCTTTACAAGAGTGGGGACAGAGACGCTATCAAAGGCTTTTTTTATGTCGAGAAAAACTGTTAAACATTTATTTCCTTTGTCGACTTGGTCAACAATGAGTGAAGTTAGACTTGAAATAGCGTCTTCTGTGCAAAGACCTCGTCTAAAGCCAAATTGTGATATTGAGAGTATTTTGTATTTATTTAAATAATTAGTCAAACGATTATTTAACAATTTTTCTAAAATTTTGGATATTGCGGGAAGAACAGATATAGGTCTGTAGTTACTTGGATCGCTTCTGTCTCCACCCTTGTATACAGGAGTAACTAATGCCAACTTCAGAGCAGTAGGAAAAACGCCATCCCTAAAGCAAAGATTAACCAGGTGTGTTATTATGGGTACTAATATTACATTCGCATGTTTTAGAAAATTGGTGGTGATATTGTCATATCCAATATCACCAATAATTCTGAGTATAAAAACTAATAAAATCAGTCAATGAAGTCAAATATAAAGTCTATAAATAAGCATTTTTAACAAGTGGCAGATTGAATTATTTTTTATTTCTCACAAATACAATAAAGGCGAGGTATGTATGGAGTTAAGGGCTCGATGTTAATTTAACAAAAATACGCAAGCAACACAGAGTAACTGACATACTCCAATGGTTTAGTAAACTGAAGTGGCAATGGGCCGGCCATATAGCTGAAAGAACCGACAACCGACGGGGAAAAAAGGTTCTCGAGAATCAGCCTCGTACTGGTAGGCGTAGTGTAGGGCGACCCCGCACTAGATGGAGTGACGACCCGGTAAGACATGCAGAAAGTCGATAGATGCAGATGGCTCAGGGCCGTTCTTTGTGGCATTCCTTGGGTCGGCCTATGTTCATCAGTGAACTTGTGAAGGGCTGTACTGATGATGTCGATGAAATGTTGATTACTCAACATCGGGTTTAGTTAAATCGTTTATTACAATTTTAAAGAGTTGATTAACTATGTGTGTCGACGGCAAAGGTAAACATTGTAAGAAATCCTGCATGTCTATTAAATAAAATATTTCGAGGACATGCGAAGCTTACCAACACGCAATGTACTGGCGATGAAGACTAATTGCTCCATAACTTTATGATAAATGAGGGAATTCCATAGCCATTTTTAAACGTTATTTTTATATATTGTATATAGGGATAACGGGCATACGGATCGATTTTTATAGTAAGTGACTGTTGCTTCCCATGAACAACTGCCACACAATATAACAAGTGCAGCTTATATGTACCTATGAACTAAGTCCGAATAAAATAATTTATTATTATTATTATTATATGGGATATAACATATCAAATAATATATCATACATTTTTATTCATTGGAAAAATATATTACATAGTATTTGGTAAAGTATTTAATTTTCAAAAATGACATAGCGACCTCATTGAAGCGCTAGTAACCAAATCGCTTAGAATTCGGTAAGTGAAACCTAATGCTAATGCGCGCTACAAAGCTTGTTTTCGTCTACCCCAGGAACTTTATAACACGGATGGTATGATTAAAGAAGTTTCACTAATTCCTTCGCCATTAATATTAATTTGTTTTCATTTAATGGAAATATTTCTTGGTACATAAAAAGAAATAACTTTATGCAGCTTCTCGTAATGAAAAAGGTATTACATGAATTCAAATTTCTAGATAGAAATAATTTTTCTATTTGTTTTACGCGGTGGGACACTTTTTGCCAGGGAGTCCAGCGAAAATACCACTCTCTCGTTTATTTCTGTCGTCAATTAGCAGTGCGTGTAATATTGAGTTTTTATCTGAAGAGTGTAGTAATGCCCCCTAGACTGAATTTGGTAACGGCTTTCAGTATTTTTGTATAGAAGAGGGGGCAAACCTTCAAACGGCTTCTCTGATTGTAAAGTGTTGAACTCCGCTTATGAAATACTGGAACAAGGGAATCACCGGTGCTTTGCCAGTCTTTATAAATGGAGAAAACATTCTTAACATTGAATAGCCATCAGCACATAATCCGTCAGGACTTTGCTAATTTGCCTGTACTCCATAGTCCAATGGGACA